GAGGATTGTACACGTGACCATGCATTTATCATTGACTGTATCTTCACGCAACCACATACACTGCAGTATGAACGTTATGCATGCGCATTCCCTGTACAGATAGTGGTATTGGACTTTGACAAACATAATTTCTTAAAAAAACTGATTGATTGAGTATGGTTTTACGCCGCTTTAAGCAATGTTCCAGTAATATCTCGGCGGGGGACACCAGAAATTGGCTTAGCACATTGTACCCATGCTGGGAATCGAACCCGGGCCTTCTGCGTGACGAGCGAACGCTTTAATCACTAGGCTACCCCACCGCCCCTTCTATAAAACAACGATCCTTGATAGACAATAGACGATAACCTCATATTTAGTTTAGGGTAGTCGTATTCGTAATGCATGTAATTTTTTTAAAAACATTGATGATCCAAATCGTTTGTAATAAGCGTAATATATCTCATTGACTTAATCACATCCTTGCCATGTATATCCATGATATATGTAATATGATTATCGTATATCCGAATATACTATGAAAACGCAATGCCGATTACAAAAGATCTAAAAGAAATTAGTGTTTGTTTATCTTATTTTCTAACTATAATATATTTATATAATCAAGTGACTGATTTCATTACCGAATTCGGTTGATATTTGTCTCGTGATCCTTGTAGACACATCCTCTAACTTTTCCACAAACTGCCTTTAGAAAGTGAAAACGTGTTAACCACATTTCGTCACGATTGCTTGCTTCTACACATATACACCATAGCCATGAATACGTCACATGGATAAAAAAACGTCAACGCCAGAGAATAACTGCTTAAGATTATCCACTGAAACAGATTGCATTGGGCTTTAAAGGAAAACTAGTGGTTACAATTATATGAATGGATACCTGAAAATCAAAGTATTTTCAGTATATGGTGATTACACCTGCTTAACCGCTATGTACAGTTATAAGAATCTGTATGATTCAACAAAGATTCAGATCTTAATTTAGCAGGAATACAAACACAGTTCTATCTAGGAATGCCGCATCATCGTTCTTGCCACTGTCGACTACATCAATTTGTTTCTCTGAAACTGTTTTTAACACAACGGGTTTCGCTAGTGTTTTGTACCTATCTCTGAATATCAGTTAACGAGCTTTAACCTTTTTCACCCCCATCACGTGTATCTTGTTACTGCGCAGGAACGCTGCAGTTCCCTCCCTAAACCTCCTCCCTCATCTACTGCGCCCCCCCCCCCCCCCCCCCCCCCCCCCCCCCCCTACCTACCACCCCCTCTGAATCAACAACCATACACGTCTATATATGTGCAGTGACCGGAATTAAATCACTGGTGATGAACAGCTGAATAATTCAGAATTCCTTCGCCATACAAAGCCAGGTGATAGTACAATCCACGTTGCCTGGCCTCAGTGTAAACATATTCAATAGAAACATGTATATTGTATATGTTTGATAGGTTCTTGTGCAGGGTATTAATACATGGTTTCCTTGGGTCGGCACTCGCTGTTTAGTCATGCTTGGGCGCCAATGTTGGTTATGATTAAATTTCATTTTTCTCGGAGTTCTCGCCGGAATTAGATTGTACCGCGTGGCCTAAAACTGCGTTATAAAGAGACAAGAAAAGAAGGGTTATGGCGTCATAAACACACTGATATGATCGTTCTTGTTAAGCCCGTGGATACAGGCCGCCTAACAAGGAATATTTTGTAAGCGTAGACATAATCAGAGCATAGACGGTGCAATTACAGCCTATGGATAGCTGATCACAATATAAAGAGGGTGTGTGTCTTCATAGCATATACTCTCCCTCACATGAGCAATTCTGCATCCTGAAACGTTACATGTATGGATAAACTGTATTATTACCCGTCTTGTCCAATACAATACACGCGACATTCATTTTTTTTCAAATGCATCAACGCACTTAATGCCATCGAACTGATGCGGCGAGGTAATTTGTAAATATGCTTAATTCTATTCGATAAGAAAAGAACAAAACATAGGTCGATCAATCTCAACTTATTTAACAATTTTATCTGGAGAGTTATGGGCCGTGGTTGACGAGATATAGCCATGCTACTCTGATATGGCCATTAGACAAGGCGTGCTGGTCGGACAACCGTAGCATATGTGCTGGTCAAATCATACTATTATCCTGTATCCAATATAACTATTGTCAAAGGACCGTATTTAATTTACCTCTAAATGACCGCTGTCCACTCGTCCAGTGATGGTTGAAGTTATCAGCTTGATCAACTAAGTGACCGCTAATGGCGGTATCACTTCCAATGACGGCCCCCATTTTCAGCCACGAACACACTCATTGTATTTAGAATTTCTGGTAGCTACGTTGCTATTTCAATGAATACGTCGACAATGACATTAACATGGAAACAGAAAATACGGTATTACTTCTGGATTTGGATCGATCAAGGACCTTAAAATCAAACAAAAACTCCCTTAACGTTACAAGAGTCGTGTAGTACATCACTTCAACAGCATGGACGTCATATTTCCATCTATGTATGTTTATCAAAATATAAATTCCTTAATTATCGTATCATCCAATCATTTTTTTTATTGATATCTGAACTTTTCCAGGACATGAAAGCGTTGAAGCCTTAGGGTACACGATCGTATTGGAGTTTTCATAAACGCTGTGATGTTTCATCGTCGGGCGCAATCACAGTGCCTGTTACGCTCAATGACTGGTTTACCTGGGAAACGCGTTAAAACTGTGCAGCTGATGAAAGCATGTTGTGTAGTTAATGGTGTCGTTAGTAGACCATATTAATCAAGCCAGGTTACACTAGACAGGCAACCAGTCAATACTGACTCAACCGTCCATTCGGCTCATACACAGACATGACACATCACTCAAACTTCAGTCACATTGCTCTTTCGACATTTTTTTCCTTTTTCTCGCCCATTAAAGACATTAGTCTCTTCTGTGTCTCGTGTCGCAGGTGTTCCCGGCTATTATCTTACCTGTAATTTGTGCGTGTCAACACCATCGCACAACCCACATCTATTTCCTAACAATTTCAACAGACGCCTATTGTTAACTCAATTACAAAAGAAGGTTTCTTAACCTCATCTATCCCAAATTACGTTTAAAGAAGATGCGCGCGAGTGTCGTCTCGCGTGTAACACTAGTGTCACTTCGGGTGTAACATTATCCAAGTTTAAAGCAACTCAACGCAGTGCAAATTCACACCTGTTCTCTAAAAGGAATAAATGAACACAGGTAACATGCAGTCTCTTCAACCAGGTCGTCCCTTATCTCATAGTTCCTATTGTAATCCGTTACCGTCCTCTAACGCTCACTGCAATGTATAATACACGCGAACGATTTCATCAACAGGCCTTTTCAAATTTCTGAAAAATGTTGATCTAAAAAAATCTATGTTCCAAAGATACACAAACTAAAGTAATATAATACCTACTTACAATTAGTGCGTTATTCCATGGATAAATAATTTACATAACCTATGGTAACATCTCTCAAAAGACCAACGTGTTGTTTCTATGACAAGTGGCATATAGCTTCTATCGTCTTGGGGAAGACTATTCAATTGCTATTATCGGCTTCAATTGAGTTAGAGATAAAATTAAAATGCTCCGAGGACCATTAGCTGATAAACGATTGAACGTACTTGAGATCGTTTTGCAATGGTCCAAATTGTCATGAAAACGACACGGTCGTTGCTACGTCAAGAAAGACAGATCCAATATGATATTATATTCAAAGCTCGTGCTACTGGTGTGTGCTGTGGTGTTGGGCCTCTGGGTATCACATACACCTGTACATGACAATCAGCCGTTCAAATTGCCTTTTCCAGTTCCCAGAGGCAAATATCAACGAGGACACAAGGGATCTGCATGTACGTTGAACGAAGGTGTGAATAGATATTTCGAAGGAGCAAGCCAGAAGACGTTCGAACACACGAATGTTTTAGTCGCTATCAAAATGGCTTTGCTAGTTTCAGTATTTAAACTCGTTTGACATTTGATAATATTTTATAGTTCATTTTATAGACAATGATATAACATTGTATGTATTTACCAGAATAAATACATGATCAATTGTCTGGTCCAGACTCGATTATTTACAGACCGCCGTCATATAGCTGGAATATTGCTGAGTGCGGCGTAAAACAACAAACCAAACCAAATCAAACCAAACATGATCAAAATCGACGATAAGAGACTGGACACGAAGGTTTAAAAAATGATTGCAAATATTTTTGTTCTTACAAATATGTAATATAAGTGATGAGAAACATGTGACGTCGTACACATTGCGGGAAATTATAAAGTCCAACTTGTAGGGTATAGTCACGAGATAAACCAGCAACAACTTTGAGAAGATGCAGAATAAACATGATGTCATCGAAGACTCCCCGAGCTCTCATTCTAAACTATTCTCGCAAGGTATGCAACTATCTGCGGCCTGTCATGACTATCCTGTTGTTAGCTATCGTGTTAGTCACGGAAGTTATTTGGTGAAGATTAAACTTCAAACTTTATCCAACGTGTACTTGACTCGACGTACCTGTCATAACCATCTGTCACACCCACCCACCTGAGTTATCAGCAACATGCAATCATGAAGATACGACACGGGCACATTCCTACTTTCAAAGAATCATTATCTCGATGAAGTATAATTTTAATATAAAAAGATATAGCCGAGTACACGTGGAAAAGACACCAGGTGCAAATGTATCTGTAGCCATGTAGGTTGTGTCTAAATATATGTTTGTGTTTGTTCCCGTGCCAATGTCTGTATAAATGAACTGCCTGTGTTGAATATGTCAAAGTATATGTATGTATATCAGATATGTCTTCCCTAAGGTTCTATATCTAGCGTTTTTAAACATGCACAACCCCAGCCAACTTGGCCTGAAGACATAAATACATGGACGTAACACAGAACCCTACCCCATCCCTGCCCCGGAGATGGCGATGTCCCCCTGTGGGCGGATCTGTTCGACTCACCTGTACCATGACAAGCCCTCATGGTAGTTCCTGTCAAAGAAGTGGGGTTCGGGCCCAGTTGCCCGAATTCGGGGGTGAATCCTGAGGAACTCCAACAACGCCCTTGTACCGCCTTTCTTTACTCCAATAATAATCGCATCAGGGAGTTTCTTTGTAGCGTTTGATACCAGGGAGGGGTTAGTCCTGTAGCCCTCCTTGAAGCCAGAACTCAGGGGGTTAACTCCGGGGGGGACAACACCCCCAACCGTCCCGTCACCATCATCATCCACGTAAATGTTGCTGTCACTTAATTCGCCCGGGGGGTGATTGGTATTATCCAGTGGACCCCCGCCAAAATGTCCTGAGTCTGGCGACACACTAAAATCTTTATAATTTGCATCTTGAAGCATTCTATTATGACGAATGACTTTTTCTGGTGCTTGGACATTGGGCAGCGTATTCCTGACCGCTATGACGTAATCATTGCCGCTTACAGGCACGGCTCCTATCACTGCCAGATTGTACGCACTTAACATCAATAAAACACACAGCATTATGCCTGCCAAAATCACTCGAGGCTTACATCGGAGACAATATTTTAGCATATCCAAAGGCACCAAGTGAATAGGCGACTGTCGTAGGGCTGAACATAACCCATGATCCCGTCCCGCCTGTGTCTTGCGTTGCTGTCATTCCATATCTCATTACAAGTGGGCACTCAGGGTGTCTACAAGTTGTATCACGGTGGCTTGTCACTGTTTGAACACTTGTAGTCCGTAATCTCACATTTTAACATAACTACAAACTCCCCACCTCTCGCAAGGCCAGTCCGTTCCCTATACTGTCAAATGTTATCGTCGCGCGAGTAAGCTGAAGTCATGTGACTTGGCGCTGCGTATTGATTGGTCGAAATTCTCCGGAGGCAGTCCCGAGCGGAGATGTGAATGGGAGCCGTTGAGCCACACTGCATGAGAACCTCAGTGATTTGAACGATATGCTTCGACTACCACCTATCCTGAAGCTACAAACTTTCTTTAAATGAGGCCCTCGCTAAATGATGTCTTACAACGAACAAGGAAAACGCCCGGAGATTCGGAAAAAGCGTGACACCAGAGAACGCCAGTTAGTGCTTTATGTTATAAAACATCACTGAGCGTGTGTACGTTCGGTGAGAGTCTAAGTGTGGGTGTTTGAACAAATTTTACACTAATCGAGCTGAATTTTCTGTATAAACGTGCCATTGACAATCTATACATTTTCGTTTGATTAAAAACAAGTAATTTATAAGTTGAATGTTTTGACTATCATTTATCCTATATAAATTCTTCAAACTGAGATTGTATCGATTGTCAGACGTTTAATTTAAATGTTTTAAAGGGTCTACAGTGTTTCCATTTAAGCACACAATTTAAGATTACCGATGACATTTACAAACAGAAAACTCATTTCCTAGGTTTAGTACCCAAGTGCCGGTAAAACCTGGAAATATTAAGTTGCCATGACAACAATAAAAGACGACAGTAAGAGTATAGGGATTTCGTGATCATATAAAGTTAATAATGTTTCATGGTCGTCCCAAATGCAATTAGGCTATGTACGCAACCCAATGATTACCTGAATATCGCTCGCGAGATTGGCACGATCAATTCTATGAGGAAATCTCCAGGCCATCTCAGAGTCTATTACGCTATTAGACAATGCGCGAGAGTGTCTCTCTGCACTGGCAGTCAAAGGGAGATAATTCCGTCATTACGGTGCTTTGTCTTCAAGCAATGCACGCTAAACAAGGACAAGTGTGTGCTGCGGTAGGGCGCCCGTCGGTAGTTGGTTGCCTATCGCGATGAGCAGCGTACAAGATCGTTACGGTAGACAGGCATACGATCAGAAGGTACTTGAAATGTTTCTCCAACTGTGGATGTTTTTTATCAAACGCCAGAAGATTCATACTTATATAATTACGAGAACTTGACGTACATGATTGTGACTGATGAGACAAAAATTCGACAAACGCAAAAGTTTGCCAGAAATTTCCGTTCAATTAACACATGAATTATCCCAGAATGTGGCGAGACAGATGGGGGCGAGGGTCTGGCTCAGATACGTGGTTGTCTCACTGTGGGACCGGAGCAGTGCATGCTGGGACCATTTCAAAACTCCTATGCTATTTGCATCTACAAAGGCCGCAAGTAATTAGCATTGAAAATGTAGAACCCTATGTGCACACTCCACCAACTTGCTAATGAACAGATGACAAGGCCATGGACAATATGCATATACAGATATTAGGTATTTAAAACAACATAAACATTCTCTAGATGACAGCCTCGAAGCTACCGTTAACACGAGACTCCATGGTAAATAGCATTAACGTCTCTTGACCGCCTAGACGTGACTGTTACCATGAATGTTACCGGCACCATGGATCCTGGACTAATAGTTAACATCTCCTGGTTCCCTGTACGTGACAGTCAACATCCCCTGGTTCCCTATACGTCACTGTTAACATCCCTGGTTCCCTATACGTCACTGTTAACATCCCTGGTTCCCTATACGTGACTGTTGACATCCCTGGTTCCCTATACGTCACTGTTAACATCCCTGGTTCCCTATACGTCACTGTTAACATCCCTGGTTCCCTATACGTGACTGTTGACATCCCTGGTTCCCTATACGTGACTGTTAACATCCCTGGTTCCCTATACGTGACAGTCAACATTCCCTGGTTCCCTATACGTGACTGTTAACATCCCTGGTTCCCTATACGTGACTGTTAACATCCCTGGTTCCCTATACGTGACTGTTAACATCCCTGGTTCCCTATACGTGACTGTTAACATCCCTGGTTCCCTATACGTGACTGTTAACATCCCTGGTTCCCTATACGTGACTGTTAACATCCCTGGTTCCCTATACGTGACTGCTAACATCCCTGGTTCCCTATACGTGACTGTTAACATCCCTGGTTCCCTGTATGTGACTGTTAAAATCCCTGGTTCCCTATACGTCACTGTTAACATCCCTGGTTCCCTATACGTGACTGTTAACATCCCTGGTTCCCTATACGTCACTGTTAACACCCCTGGTTCCCTATACGTCACTGTTAACATCCCCTTGTTCCCCATACGTCACTGTTAACATCCCCTGGTTCCCTATACGTCACTGTTAACATTTCCTGGTTTCCTATACGTCATTGTTAAAACCTCCTGGTTCCTTAGACGCGACTGTTAACATCTCCTGGTTCCCTAGATGTGACTGTTAACACCCCCTGCTTCTCAAGGCGTCACTGTTAACATCCCCTGTTTCTCTAGACGTCACCGTTAACACCTCTTGATTCCCTAGTGGTGATGGTTAACATCTCCTGGTTCCCTTGACGTGACGGTTAACAACCTCTCCTGATTCCTCTAAACTTGACAGTTAACGTCTCCTGATTCCTTGGACGTAATTGTTCAACTCTCCTGATTCCTTGGACGTAATGATCAACATCTCTTCTGATTCCCCAGTGGGGATTTTTAACACCTCCTGATTCCTTAGACGTGGCGGTTAACATCTTCTGATTCCGTGGACGTGATAATTAACATCTCCTGATTCCTTAATTAGATGTGACTGCTAACACCTCCTGATTCCTTAGACGTGGCAGTTAACATCTCCTAATTCCGTGGACGTGACTGTTAACATCTCCTGATTCCGTGGACGTGACTGTTAACATCTCCTGATTCCTTAATTAGATGCGACTGTTAACATATCCTGATTCCTTAATCAGATGTGACTGTTAACACCTCCTGATTCCTTAGACGTGGCAGTTAACATCTCCTGATTCCGTGGACGTGACAGTTAACATCTCCTGATTCCGTGGACGTGATAGTTAACATATCCTGATTACTTAATTAGATGTGACTGTTAACACCTCCTGATTCCTTAGACGTGGCAGTTAACATATCCTGATTCCGTAATTAGATGTGACTGTTAACACCTCCTGATTCCTTAGACGTGGCAGTTAACATCTCCTGATTCCCCAGACGTAATTGTTCAACTCTCCTGATGTCCTGGACGCGACGGTTAACATTAACCTTCCTGATACTTCATATATTTGGTTGCTACGAAGTGGCAGTGCAAGGATATGCTTGGATAGACTGATTATGACCATTGATCCGTTAGTACCATTCTTCGTTGATTTCGAATGTATGACACATGGACAATCTGCGTCTTCTATGTGACGAATAATGGTGGTTAAAGCGGCGTTAAAGTCCAAATTCATTCAGATACATATTTCAGACGTCAAAAACATGACCTCAGTGTACCGTTAACTCGCCAAAGATCGCCCCGATCGGAAGCAGCAAAACATTTCCTACTTTCAATTATCATTCATCCAAACTCTCAGAGTTTCAAACCCAACGGGGCACGGGTGGCCCAGTCGTCTAAGGCGCCGCGATTCGCTGTGCAGAGTTGCGCCATTTTGTGCCCGGTTCGCCCCGATTATGCTCTAGGTTTCTAGGTGTCAGCACCATATCCGTGCTCGTGGTAAACGTCTGAGACCTGCATCACTTCGGGCTTTCCTCCCACATTAAGCTGACACGCTGCGATATAACTGGCATACTGTTAAAAGTGGCTTTAAACCCAACTCACTCACTCACTCAAAGCCTACTACTTATGAGATACTTATCACACAATTTCAAATCCACAATTTCGAGTCATTAAACATAGCCAATGTTTTCCCACTGTTAGGTCCCTATTATAAAATGCGTTAACCTACACCATAACCCGTGATAGACCGCCTCCGTGGTCTAGTGGTAGAGCGTCCGCCCGGAGAGCGGAAGGTCCAGGGTTCGATCCCCGACCGCGTCATACCAAAAGACGTTCAAAGATGGTACTTGTTGTTACCCTGTCTGGCGCTCGGCATTAAGGGGCTAAAACAAGGACTGGTCGGCTCGGAGTCAGTATACTGTGTCTGAGTGGGGTATTCATGTTAAACTGCGGCGTGGTATCTCAGTGGGCTAGCACTATACATCGGCATCAGTCCGGACTAGTACAAGCAGCCACACAAACACACACACGTACATGCACGTCGCTATATAAGTGCAATAATCTTGGACGCGACGTTAAACCCCATTTCACCTCACCTCATAACCCGTGATCATTAACGTAATCTCTGACCATGTGGACATGACCTTGATTCAAATCCTTCAGGCCAAACGTGACATAGATTCAATATCGTGTGAACCTGACCCAGATCTGATTCCATTGATGTGAAGTGGGAGACAAGGTCTGGTCTATAAAAGCCTACGGCACGCCCAGTTTAACCGGCTCCCGACGGTGTTTTCAGGCTGTAGGTCTGACGGTTGTGCTTATCTGCCAATGGATTGACTTCCTGAGACAGTAGTTCCAAACTCATGTACTAGTCTCGTATACCTGCTTTCTATTGTTGATGACGTCACAGGTCATGTCGTTGTAACGTTAAGCCTTTATATTACTTTGTTGTATAGTGTGTTTGTTTGTTGTTTAACGCCGCACTCAGCAAAAGTCCAGCTATATGACCGCGGTCTGTAAATAATCGAGTCTGGACCAGACAATTGACATCATGAGCATAAATCCACGCAATTGGGATACGTTGACATGCATCAACCAAGTCAGCGAGCCTGACCACCCGATTCCGTTAGTCGCCTTTTACGACAATCATTGTTGCCTTTTACGACAAGCATGGGTTGCTGAAGACCTATTCTACCCCGGATCTTCACGGGTCTTGTTGTATAGTAGCGACATATAATAGTTGTATAGTTGACAAAATACATCAGGATACAGTTTGCTGATAAGCATAATCTTATCCCTGTTGTTTCCCCCACCCCCGCAGGTGGCGTCCATGGTCACA